TTCCCCTCAGATTGCACAGACCCACAAAGAATTTGAAAACAAATCCAATCTTGATAAACTCCCATGTGACCCCTCCAGTGACTTATATTGGTAAAGAAGTCTAGCGACAAATTCAGTTACTTTTCAGGCTGCCTTTGGGGAGTTTTGACACTGAGTGCTTCTATGGTTTTAATAGTATTTAGCGAGTTTTCCCACTCAATTTAGCCACAAACTAGAGTGGATAAGCTGTTTGTCAGCAGAAGTCACGGGCCTTCCGAGTGGCGCAGCGGTCTAAGGTACTGCATCGCAGTGCTAGAGGCGTCACTACAGATCCGGGTTCCATCCCGGGCTGTGTTGCTGCCGGCTGCGACCGGGAGACCCATGAGACGGCGAACAATTGGCCCAGCATCGTCCAGGTTAGGGGAGGGTTTGGCCGGCTTGATGTCCTTGTCCCATCGCGCTCTAGCGACTCCTTGTGGCGGCCGGGCGCATGAACGCTGACTTCAGGTTGACAGCTGTATGGTGTTTCCTCCGACACATTGGCGCAGCTGGCTTCCGGGTTAAGCGAGCAGTTTGGCTTGGCGGGTCGTGTTTCGGAGGACGCATGGCTCTCGACCGCAAGCCTCTCCCGAGTCCGTACGGGAGTTGCAGCGATGGGACAAGACTGTAACTACCAATTGAAATTGGGGAGAAAAAAGGGGTAAAAATAGCAGAAGTCACAGCAACGGTGCACACCAGGGGAGAGGGGGCGAAAACGCTACGTCGGTGGCAAAATAAAATCTAGCAACAAATCAAGAAACCAATAGCGATTCTCACTGAAAAATAGTTTGCAACACTGCCTTCTCCCAGCCTCTGCTCCCTCCTGCTTCATCCACTCCTCCTCTGCCGGTCTCCTTGTCAACCCTTCATTCCGCTTCTCCACCATCGGTTGCTCGGCACCCAGGCTCCAGAATCCACTCCTCCCCCCACACATACAACATGCAGACACACAGTCATCTCATTCAAAAACCTCCTCAAAACACACCTGTGCCTTCCCAGTTCCCTATGTATCCCTATGTGTCCCCCCTGTCAGTGGCTTGTACTTGTTCTCTCGAAGGCTGTCCTCCACCTTCGTCCCTCTCCCTACCCACACAAACCGGTGCGCTGGCACATGCTACCATACCGTCATCAGAGTACGCAGCTGAACATTGTATGCTGGAAAACACTGTTATTTTGGAAAGCTTCAAACCGTAACCAGTGCCTGCAACCTGGTTCAGGTTATCAGTCAACCTACCAGGGTAGTTACAAACAGTACAGGAATTAAATCATCAACATGTATTGATCATATCTTTACTAATGCTGCAGAGATTTGTTTGAAAGCAGTATCCAAATCCATCGGATGTAGTGATCACAATATAGTAGCCATATCTAGGAAAACCAAAGTTCCAAAGGCTGGGCCTAATATTGTGTATAAGAGGTCATACAAGAAGTTCTGTAGTGATTCATGTGTTGTTGATGTGAAGAATATTTGTTGGTCCGTGGTGTGTAATGAGGAGCAGACAGACGCTGCACTTGACACATTTATAAAATTGCTAATTCCAATTACTAATAAGAATGCACCCATTAATAAAATTACAGTAAAAACTGTTAAATCCCCATGGATTGATGAGGAATTGAAAAATGGTATGGTTGAGAGGGATGAGGCAAAAGGAAAGGCAAATAAGTCTGGCTGCACAACCGATTGGCAAACGTATTGCAAATGTGACTAAACTGAATAAAAAGAAGAAGAAACTACACTATGAAACAAGGATAAATGACATAAAGAATGATAGTAAAAAGCTTTGGAGCACCTTAAATGAAATGTTGGCAAAAAATGTCTGCTGGAAAAACATATGTGTTATGGCTTTACACCCCCTGCTATAGTGTGGATAAAGAGTTACTTGTCTAACAGAACACAGAGGGTGTTCTTTAATGGAAGCCTCTCCAACATAATCCAGGTAGAATCAGGAATTCCCCAGGGCAGCTGTTTAGGCCCCTTACATTTTTCCATCTTTACTAACGACATGCCACTGGCTTCGAGTAAAGCCAATGTGTCTATGTATGCGGATGACTCAACACTATACACGTCAGCTACTACAGCGACTGAAATGACTGCAACGCTTAACAAAGAGTTGCTGTTAGTTTCGGAATCGGTGGCAAGGAATGAGTTAGTCCTAAATATTTCCAAAACTAAAAGCATTGTATTTGGGTCAAATCATTCACTAAACCCTAAACCTCAACTACATCTCGTAATGAATAATGTAAAAATTGAGCAAGTTGAGGTGACTAAACTGCTTGGAGTAACCCTGGATTGTAAACTGTCATGGTCAAAGCATATTAATACAACAGTAGCTAAGATGGGGAGAAGTATGTCCATAATTAAGCGCTGTTCTACCTTCTTAACAACACTATCAACAAGGCAGGTCCTACAGGCCCTAGTTTTGTCGCACCTAGACCACTGTTCAGTAGTGTGGTCAGGTGCCACAAGGAAGGACTTGGGAAAATTACAGTTGGCTCAGAACAGGGCAGCACGGCTGGCCCTTAAAAGTACACGGAGAGCTAACATTAATGACATTCATGTTAGTCTCTCCTGGCTTAGAGTGGAAGAGAGATGGACTTCATCACTGCTTGTTTTTTTAAGAGGTGTAGACAAGCTGAATGTACCGAGCTGTCTGTTTGGAATGCTGGCACACAGCTCGGACACCCATGCATACCCCACGAGACATGCCACCAGAGGTCTCTTCACAGTCCCCAAGTCCAGAACAGACTACGGGAAACGCACAGTACTACATAGAGCCATGACTACATAGAACTCTATTCCACATCATATAACTCAGTCAAGCAGTAAAATAAGATTTAAAAAACAGATAAAACTACACTTTATGGAACAGCGAAGAGACACAGGCACACACACAGCATTCACAAACATTTTACATTTAAGTCATTTAGCAGACGCTCTTATCCAGAGCGACTTACAGTTAGTGAATACATATATATATTTTATTTTTTCATACTGGTCCCCCATGGGAATTGAACCCACAACCCTGGCGTTGAAAACACCATGCTCTATCAACTGAGCTACATCCCTGCCGGCCATTCCCTCCCCTACCCTGGACAACGCTAGGCCAATTGTGCGCCGCCCATGAGTCTCCCGGTCGCGGCCGGCTGCGACAGAGCCTGGATTCGAACCAGGATCTCTAGTGGCACAGTTAGCACTGTGATGCAGCGCCTTAGACCACTGTGCCACTCAGGAGACTACTCACACATGCTAACACACACACTCTACACACACACATTTTAATATTGTTATTTTGCTGTATTATTGATGTTGTATTGTAAATATGTTATGGTGGAGTAGTGTCTAATAAGGTGTTGTGTTATGGATTGGTTTATTGTATGTAAATTGTGGTTGGACCCCAGGAAGAGTAGCTGCTGC